TGTACATAAGATCTTATTTAGGACCTTACTTAAAATGTGTTACCCCTGCAGAGACTTGGCAGATACTGCGAACTATCCATGAAGGAGTTTGTGGTAATCATTCAGGGGGAAGGTCTCTAGCACACAAAACGATGACACAAGGGTATTTTTGGCCAAACATGTTACGAGACGCGGAGGAATTATCGAGAAAATGCGATAAGTGCCAAAGGTTTGGACCAATGATCCACCAACCACCAAAAGACTTGTACGTAATGGCCAAACCATGGCCTTTCGCGCAATGGGGGATAGATGTGGTTGGCCCGTTACCGACCGACAGATCAAAAAATAAGTACGTTCTACTTGCAACAGACTACTTTACCAAATGGGTGGAGGCCGAACCGTATCCCAGTATGACTCAGACCCATGTGAGACGCTTCATTTAGAGTAATATCATCTGTTGATTTGGTGTGCCGAGGTCGATCGTTATAGACAATGGAAATAATCTTGATAGCAAGCAGGTGAGGGAGTTACTAGAGGAGTATGGAATCAATCAAAAGTTAGTAGTAGTCAACCATCCACAGGCAAATGGTCAGGCAGAGATCACAAATAGAACGATCTTTGCTTGCATAAAGAAGAAGCTTGAAGAAGAAAATGGGAAGTGGTTGGATGAACTCCCGAACGTCCTGTAGGAGTATAGAACAACTCCGAGACCACTGACCGGAGAGAGCCCATTCGCCATGGCATATGGTACTGAGGCAGTAATACCGGTTGAGCACCAAGTTCCCATTGTTCGAAGCTTAGCGTGGAATCAAGAGCAGAATGATCACATGTTGAAATTCAACCTCAACCTGCTTGAAGAGAAGAGGAATGCAGCAGCAATAAGGCTCGCGTCATACCAGCAGACGCTTATGAACAGTCACAACAGAAAGGTGAGGCATTGGGGCTTTACACCTGGTGATTTGGTTCTGAAAAGAAAAGTTAGAAGAAGGACCATATAGAGTTGCAGAAGTTATAGGAAAGGGGGCATATGTTTTAGAAGCCATGGCTGGAAGATTGGTCAACAAACCATGGAATGCCACATCTCTGAAAAGGTACTACCAGTAGAAGTAGAATTTTATTCCGAGCAATGTTCGTTTTGACTTGTGTGATTCGCAAGTGTACAAAATTTTCAAGATTTATGAAAAGAGTTTGTTTTGTTAAATTTTTTTCGATTAGCACTATTCTTACTAAGCAAAGTAAGTGGCAGCTAGCACTATGAGTCGAACGCCAAACACTTGCTAAAAAAAAGAAGAAGCCAAGTGGCATTCTAGCCGAGCGCCAGGCACTCAAGCAAAGTAAGTGGCAGCTGGCACTATGAGTCGAACGCCAAACACTTGCTAAAAAATAAAAATAAAAAAAAGCCAAGTCGCAAGTAGCATTCTAGCCGAGCGCCAGACACTTAAGCAAAATAAGTGGCAGCTCGCATTATGAGCCGAACGCCAAACACTTGCTAAAAAAAAAAAAAAAAGCCAAGTGGCAAGTGGCATTCTAGCTGAGCGCCAGGCACTTAAGCAAAATAAGTAGCAGCTGGCACTATGAGCTGAACGCCAAATACTTGCTGAAAAAAAAAAAAAAAAGTCAAGTGGCAAGTGACATTCTAGCCGAGTGCCAGACACTTAAGCAAAGTAAGTGACAGCTGGCATTATGAGCCGAACGCTAAACACTTACTAGAACTGAAAAGCGAAGTAGCAAAGGGCATTCAAAAAAAAAAAAAATGGTAACAAATGATGTTCGGAGACAACAATGAAATGATTAAAGCACTATGAGACAAGAATTGGTCAAAAAAACATTCATTTCATTTATAATCAGTTTACATTTACATATCTTGGTCAAATGAAGTGAATACAATGTAGAAGGAAAAGAAATATTTGCAAAATGTTAATCAGTCCTGCCTGTGCCCTCAGCTTTTTGGCAACGCTCAACGCAAACCGTACTGTCTTCTTGGAGGGGAGAGTCAAGTTGGATGATTGCTCCATCCTGTTGGGTCCACCCTCAGCAACTGGTGGAGGGAGAACCATAGTGGACAAGGGAGGAACATCCAAAGGTTGGATAGCCAGAGTAGTAGGAACAACCCCAGAAGCAGCTATGTCTTGACACTCGTCAAAGATTTTTTCGGCAGGAGAAGGATCTGGGTCAGCATAAATTCTAGGAGGGTTGATCTCCAGCTCCTTATCAACATCATTTGGACTGGAACTAGACTGACCCTCAGCAGGAAGACGTTCATTGTAACCCTCTCTGTACCCCTCAGCATACATGAGGGTACCGATTTGGAGAAGCGACCGTGTATAGTCGTTACTCCGTCGTTAACCTTGCCGATTACGCCGAGCAAGGCATTGCGCTCATCCAGAGTCCTTTTCTCAAAAGCCATGCACTCTGCCTGTTTGTCATGTAGCAAGAGCTGAAGATTGTCTTTTTTAGCCTTAAACGCTTCGCGTTCGGTCTGCCAGATGCTCTTCTCAATTTAAAGGGCGTCCCTCTCATCTTGAAAGGAGGCCGCTTCCTTTTTTAGACTATCCCTTTCATTCTTAGCCTTGTTCAACTGAACCATCAATTTAGCATTCTTGGTGCCAATGATATTATTCTCTTTGGTGGCTGCGTCAAGGTTGTTGGCGAACTTGCGTGCCTTAGCATTGGCAGCCTCAACATGCTTTTGCATGGCCATCATGCTAAACAGAGTCTGCAAAACAATACATGAGTACTAATTAAGCCAAACGTATGTCCAGAGGAATTGTAATATGAAGACATTTTTAAATGCAATCAGGAGGAGGGTAGGGAATTGCCTCCATAGCAGTCAGAGGAAAACGGTTGAAGACTTCCTTTTAAGATAGAGATTTGGCAACCTCAATGTCTTTGGGAGACCACATGTTCTTGTAATAGGCCATGGCAGTTGGGCCTTCTCTAAACATGGTTTCGCTCGGCCTCACTACTGAGCCATCAGCTCGGATGAATCTGTGGGTCCACGGAGCTTCTCCAGAGGGGGAAACGGTAGCTGTGCCGGACCCAGAAGGAGCAGTTGGTTTGACTTGAGGAGGGATAGGCAAGCCCGGCTCAGAAGTTCGAATCCTCATTGCTAGAGAAATATCATCAGGGTTGCCCTCACTCTCAGGCTGAGGCATTTTTCCTCGCTCCTTATCCTAAACGGATGCAGTGGGGGCAGAGGTATTCCGAACTTGAGGAACAACGTTCAGGTTGGTAGGTGGAACGATGATGATCGGGCTGACAGTCACCACGTTCGGAGTGGTGCTGGAGGTGGTGGCAGATGAAGATGCCAAGGCTGGAGAAGAAGAAGCTGCGGAAGCAGCAACGACTCTGGGAGGATCCTTCTTCGAGCTGAAGGAAGGAATTCGAAGCTGACTCGTGGTGGTGCCGAGGAGTGAAATATCTCTAAGATTCTCGGACGTGAGGAGTTTCAAATAAGAAGGGATGTCGTTCAGAACGTGGTCTTTCAGATAAGTGAACCTATCCCTGCAAATGTTGAAACTGAGTTTATTATCTTGCGGGATACCCAAAGTATTACAAAGAAACGAACAGAAGTGAGGGATGCAAGTTTCACAAGGGCAGTTCGTTTTATGGGTTTTGAATTTCTTGTAAGAGGATACGGAGCATTCGCCAAAGACGTTCAGGATAGGGTAGTCCTTGGCAGCTGGAGTAAACCAAGCCCCCCGAACCCCAACAATGCCATTCTTCTACCCTTTCTCAGACTTAAGTTTATCCGTACAGATGGATCTCTTCTCAATAGGGTAAAAGTGGTAATATACGTCCTCCAACCTGATCTTGCTGACCTTGTAACAGAGGAGAAGATCAACTAAGTTAAGATATAGGCCTCTGTCACAGTTCAGAAGCAGCAGAACGGATAAAACCCTAAGAAAATTGGGGTTAACTTGGAGAGGAGAAAGATTTAGCCTATTGAACACATAACAGAAGAAAGGGTGTAGAGGGAATCTAATAATGTTGAGATGGTGAAGGGAAAACAAGGTTTCACCGGGAAGAAGGCCGGCACCAGTTTTAATATTTACATTTTTAGGGCATTCCCTAAGATGAATATCAGAAGGGAGATGGAGTTTCATGCGAAGAACATCCAAATCTATAGGCATGGTGAGAACAACTACGATCCTTAGGGAAATATGCAAAGATTTAAAGAAGATGAAAGAAGTGAAACTAACCTTGAGAAGATGGAGAGTTGCAAAGGATGTTGTAAGGAAACTGAAGATGATGAACTTTTCACAGGATTCGCCGGAGAAGATTTGGTTTGACCAGAGAAGATTCGATTTGCCTGTAGAGAATGGATTGACAGCGAAATATATATGATAGGTACGACAAGGAAGTTGTAGGTGTGAAGGAACGGTATATATAGAGAAAGTGGTCCCACCAACCGAGACGTCAGGAAGTTAAAGAAATTAAAATTTCAAAAACATTGATTCCGAGGCCGATCGCTCAATGCCCCACGTGATTGCCTAGAGCCGTCAAGTCATCATTAGTTCAGTAAATAATCACACCCTAATTAATGAGGGAATGATTATGGGGGCAGTTGAGAATACTAAAGGCGGCATGGGCCGGATCCAACTCACATGATGAAGAATGAGCCTGGTAATTGACCTGGGCTCGAACCAATCTTTCATAAGACAGGGCCATTGCTGAAGAGCGAAACTGAAAGCCTCTGAAGATGATCGGACCCATTATTGTAAAAGCCTCGAGGACGAGCCCAGTAGAAGAAGTTAGTTAGGAATCTTCAAGGAAACTGTAAATAGAAGGAAAAGGGAGTGAAGAAGGGAAATTTTTTTTCTTTAAAGTGTAATGAAATTCTGTCAAAACAGAGTGAGAAAATTCTTGTACCATGAAAGTAATACCCCAGAGTTTCCGACGTGGAGAGTAAATCCAGAATGGTAACGTCACGGATTCACGAAGACCAGACAAGCTGACTGGTTACGTGGCTCACTTGCAGACCACAGCTTTAACTGTTCTATTTTTCCCTCCTTTTTTCTCTCTCATCAAAACATGGTCCCTTCCAAACGCCAACTTCAAACCCTAGTCCCTCTCTCGGGCCTCATTTTTACCTTCGCAACCTGGCTCACATTAGCCTCCACTCACACTCCCCTGCGCTTCCGGCGCACATTAGCAAACACAGACGCCACCTTCCCTTAATCGTTAGTTTCATTTCATCTATGGCTTCCCAATCTTCAACTCAATCAACCACCGTTCAAACTGGCAGGATCAGGGTTCTGAAGGAACGATCACGGCCGTCCGATGGCGAGGTGGGACCTGTTGTGTACTGGATGTTCAGGGATCAACGGTTGAAGGACAATTGGGCGTTGATCCACGCTGTCGATCAGGCGAATAAAGCAAATGCCCCTGTAGCTGTAGCATTCAATCTGTTCGATCATTTTTTAGGGGCCAAAGCCCGGCAATTAGGGTTTATGTTGAGAGGACTACAACAACTACATCATGATATTGAAGAAACCCTTCACATACCATTCTATTTGTTTCAGGCAAGATAATTAGTTTAATGTTACGAGTATATATATATATATATATATATATATATATATATATATATATATATATAGGTGAATATATAATTGTTTATATACATGCATATATGTGTATATCTACTTATGCGTGTATGTCTGAGATTTTGAATTGTAATATTCTACTGGATAGGACCAGGGGAAAGTGAAGTAAAAAAATAAAAAAAGGGACTATCTTCTGTTTGATTGCTGAGAAAGTGAAGGAAAATAAAAGGGAAAGAATTATTTTTGGAGCTATCTTTAGAATTTTACTGTTTCAGGCAAATCTTCAGACACAAGTTTAAGTTTAGCACTACTAATTTGGCTCAGGTGGCTTCAATTTTTCATTTTAGAGAAAAAAATGCTAAAATATTGAAGTTTAAAATTATTTCCTTTTCCTTCAAATTTTCAGCAACTAATGAAATGTATGATGTACCTTGCGAATAATTGAATCAGGTTCAGTTGTGTATGGGTGAATACCAGTTTACTATCTATTGACACACTCTCAGACACACACTTATATCCATTTTCTTTGCAACTAAACATTGCATTAGGTGCTGGAACTCATAATTTGATAGATTCGTTAATTTAGGGTGAAGCTGTAGAGACTATACCAAATTTTCTGAGAGAATGTGGGGCATCACTTTTAGTTACAGACTTCTCACCTTTACGGGAAGTACGGAGTTGGAAAGAGGAGATCTGCAAGAAGGTGAGCAATTTAGTGTCAATTCATGAAGTTGATGCACACAATGTCGTACCACTTTGGGTGACATCAGAGAAATTGGAGTATAGTGCTCGGACTATTAGGGGTAAGATCAATAAACTGCTTCCAGAGTATATGATTGATTTTCCTACACTGGGACCTCCAATTACAAAATGGTCTTCCAAGAGTCAGTCTATAGACTGGGACAATCTCATTGCAGATGTTTTAAGGTTAGTATTTTTACTCTTTGAATTTTGGTTTTGGTTTTATTTGACGTTAGATGTCACGGTAATACTTATAGTTTAATTTGATATGATTAGGAAAGGAGTAGAAGTTCCTGAAATTGAATGGTGTGAACCAGGAGAACATGCTGCAATGGAAACATTAATGGGGAGTAAAAATGGTTTCTTGACTGGGAGGTTAAAAAACTACTCTACAGACCGGAATAACCCATTGAAACCCAAAAGCCTCTCAGGTCTCTCTCCATATTTGCATTTTGGGCAGATATCAGCGCACCGGTGTGCCTTAGAGGCACGCAACTTTCGGAAATTGTCCCCTCAGGTTTGTGGTCTCAATTTTTGGTTTAAAGGTGTAGGTTTGCTTTTCATTTAATTAGTTCTTAAATTCTGTTATTCATATTTAGATGGACTTAATATAGCTTGAATTATATTTGGTTTCAACAATTTCCTGTATTTTATTCACATATGTTCTTTTGCGAAATTTTGTATGTTGTTTGTGTTTTAATGTCTGACATATAGCTTTGTCTTTCTTCTATACCGGCTATTCTGAAGGCAGTTGACACATTCTTGGAGGAGTTGATTGTGCGCAGGGAACTCGCTGATAACTTCTGCTTCTACCAACCTCAGTATGATTCATTACAGGGAGCATGGGAGTGGGCACGTAGGACCTTGATGGACCATGCTTCTGATAAACGAGAGCATATTTACACGTGAGTGGGAGTTGCTTTATGTAGTGAATTGATATAAGATTACTTTCTGTCACTTTGTGCTGATTTGATTTCCTAGGGTGAGGTTGTCATAGTATGAGTGCGTATTGAATTTGCAGGAGGGAACAACTGGAGAAGGCGCAAACTGCTGATCCTGTAAGCAATTGATGTTCTGTTGATCACTTTAAAAAATTACTGTAAAAAAAGTGTTAATATCTTAAAAGCCTGAAGTTTCATTTATCTACTTCTCATTTTTTGGCAAGTTTAATTTCTGAGATTTTCTGTTGACGTGAAGATAGATTAGATAATGCATCTGGTTTACGCCAGCACAGTAACATTACTTTGTAGTTTTCTTTGGTATCTTCTTGGTAGCTTAATTGTGATGCTAGGTGATAAAAAAATAAAATTAGAAAAATAAATCTATGCTGCTATGTAATTATAAAGGTTATTGATGCAACTTTCAGCTATGGAATGCTTCTCAGTTGGAGATGGTTCATTATGGGAAGATGCATGGTTTTATGCGGCAAGTAACTTCTCTATAACTCTGTTTAACTTGACTTTTATATTCTTATTTTTATGAATTCTAAGTTGCACTTTGTCATTTCTCAGAATTCAAATTTCATAATCATTCCTATTAAAATGACATGAATTCTGTTTCTTGTTGTGATATTATGACTCTTAAAGTCTTAAGTCAGCACAAACTTCACCATGTTTTTTTTTCAAATAAAAATGAAATAAGTGAACAAATTTTTTGTTTAAATTTTTTTTTTTTTGTTTTCATGATTAAAGCCTGTTGATGTTTGGGAACAACATGATCTACTGATCTAGAGTGAAATAAACAGACTTTGAACTTTCCAAATTTAAGTATGGAGTAGTTATTTAATGGGTTATATATTCCCATTCCCTTTTGATATTTAATATGCTTGCATCATAATTAGAGTGTACTAATTGAGATGGATGATCATTTGATGCGCTCCTTGATGTATTCGATGGGTTTTTTAGTACATAACTTCTTGCTACGGAAGCCATATGGCTGATGACTTGATAATGCTTGTGGTCACAAGAGTTGTTACTTGTATGAGATGCCTTCATATAATGGGATGTTGAGATAGGGATACATATTGGACTTAAGGGTAAATTACTCCGACCTCCCCTGAGATTAGGGTTAATTACTCTCAGGTTAAAGTTTTTTCAAACTTACTCTGACACCCCTGTCAGACCCGCGATCTGTTACTTGACGTAACCTTTTATGTGCATTTACTTAATGCCCTCAACTTTTCAGTGGTTAATTACTAAAATACCTACAATCTTTTTTCGTATCTCCCTTTTGTCAACTTTTCAAGGATTGCAGATATCACAAATGGTTTCATGAGTGATGATAACATGGTTATACACTTGAGTGATTCCATGCAGTCCGTATGACATAAATATAAGTGTGCGTGCGCAGAGTCGCTGTGAACTTGCACATATAGAACAACCATGAAGAGTTGCTTCCAATGATCAATTTAGAAGTGTGATTATGATCTATAAGCAATATAATGTATTTGTGATAAGGAATGTATCGCCAATTATAAAATAGTGAATGAAGTATTCGCATTGTATGGGTTCGTTAGGCATATTCCAAGGGTATAAGATGGTACACAGTTATACGATGACTTGTGAATACATGGGTACATGATGAATTATCTTCTACCTATGTTTTGATGGCTTATCATTTGTATAATTTTATCTATTTCTAATTGTCCACTGATAAGTTATAGAAATCATGAGCAGGATGTATTGGGCGAAAAAGATTCTCGAGTGGACAAGTGGACCTGAAGAAGCCCTGGCAATATCAACATATCTAAATGATAAGGTAGTTTGACTAGAAATGTATTGTGTGCTTGCACTGATTTATTACTGAAGTCTCACCAAGTTTCTCAATCCACCATAACTTTGCATGCAGTATGAAATCGATGGGAGGGATCCGAGTGGATACGTTGGTTGCATGTGGTCCATATGTGGCGTACATGACCAGGTCTGACTACATTCATGCTTTTTGGTCGTCAGTGTGTCTATAATTATTTATCCTTTGACGGATACCAAGTTTTATGGACAATGACCACCTCTGGTTCTTCAGATAATAGTTCATGTGGTTCCTTATTACTGTGTGCCACAGAACTATGTGTAGATGGATGCTTGGTAGCACATAGTATTGTATGCGAAGTTAGTGAAATTCACTCGTTTTTGTACAAGTTGGGGCACCCATGTGCATGGATGGATCTGAATAAATTGTCAGTATTTGTGTGTGGTGTGTGTGTGTGTGTGTTGGGGGGGGGGGGGAGGAGGGGGATTTGGGGTTTAGAAATCATTAGCCACTTGACATGAACTTCAGTATTGAATTATTCTTAATTGGTTTCTCCAGGGTTGGAAAGAACGACCAATCTTTGGGAAAATACGCTACATGAATTTTGCTGGTTGCAAAAGGAAATTCGATGTTGATGGATACATTGCACATGTCAAGAGGCTCGTTGGTGAAATCAAGAAGAGGAAAGCAGAAACCCTGCTCAGTAAGAAAGCAAAGGAACTTCGCAGTTAATATTTTTGTGCTTTCCAGTGGGTGTAGTAAGCTGGAAACACCGTCCTCGTCCTTTTATTCATAGGGAATGTTTTCCTTTAAGAAAGAATTAAATGAGCTAGAACATGCATGGTTTTGAATGTATAATATGAGTTGCTGATCTTCTTCTCGGCCGAAGATGCCATTTGTTTTCTTCTAGTTGGCATCTCTTTAGGATCCTTGTACTGAAGATGCATTCCATTTTAGTTCCACTTCTATGATATTTTGTAGACAGAAATTATGCTTTGACATGAATTTGAAACTTGCTCTATGAGAAGATCTGTGTATGTTATTCAATGCCATCATGATTGTATTTGTCACGCGAGAGAATAATATTTGAGTTCAACTGTAATCACTTCAAAGGTAGGTATATATATATATATAACATAATAGTTCATATATCTGGGATGCCCCTGGGGTCAAAAGTTATGCAATGTTTACAAGTTAGTTTTGCTAATTGCACATCTTCTTAACTTCTTATTTTTCTTTTCCAGTTACTTCTTCTTTGAAACCAGTGTTTGGTGGGCTTTCTTCTCAGAACTACTGGCAAATTGGGAGCAAGTAGCAAGCCTGCTTTTAAATAGAGCGGGGAAGTAGGGCCGAGAAAGTTGGGTGCTGCTGCGGCTTGAGATGGATTCTCAAAATCCCTGCCTTCAAAATTCAAACTATCAAGATCCATAATTTCAATTCCAAAGTAAGGATTCCGTTCTTTAGGATGTAATATCAGGAAATGTTTTTAAATTCGGGGTAGGTTTTTAAGAAGATAAAGTATTAGCAAGTGTCTTTGTGCTGTCATTTGCAGGATTTCAGGAAGATGTTGAAGTTTTTGAGAAAATTTAGCAGAATGGAAGGTAAGAAGAAAAGGGCAGAGAGAAACAAGGCTATGTGCACACTCAAGGTATGTTTCGGTTTCCCGGGTAAATTAGGACTAAGCCAATCCTGATGATTTTTAAAAGTTGGAACTGGACTGAACCAATCCAATCTGTTGAAGAACGGTTTGAATTGGTTCAATTTTAACTTTGTTTAGCCCCAAATCAAGCATTACTTAACCCAATTTTTGTGACTTGGATAAAATTTTCCTCTATGCCTATTGAAGAGTGCATTTATCGTTTCTGAAATCATCTAGTTACGTCGAAATAATATATTTTGCTAACAAGAAATAGAATGTAATTTTTTGTTAATATATTTTTGTAACTTATGGTCGGTGTATATGTAACTTTGGTTTAACGTGATAAAAGTTTAGTTTGAAAAGTTTAGGTTGAAACTAAATATATATGTATAAATATCACTGTCCGTTTAGAAAACCTAATCAAAATCAGAACCGAATTATTGAATTATACAATTGAACCAAAACTGTACAGATTGAATTCACGATTTGAACTATTCTACATGCACCTCAAATGGTATCTTTTCAAATTCTTAAGGTGGTGTTTGAAGGTATGGAATTGGTGGAATATTTGGTTTAATTTATGGAGTAATTTCTTTCTAATTCCATTTTGGCCAAACATCGAGTGAAATGACGAAAATGTTGGGTTGACCAAAAACAATGACAGAAAGATACAAAGTACCAATTTGTTTTTCTTTGATCCGAAATTTTCAAAGAAAATGTTCCAAAAGGTGTACCATCATATCCTAGTGTCCAGATTCCAACATTCGCTGAGTAGGAATTAGGAATCCAAACTCCAACCACAAAAAAAACTAACAAAGAGATTAATAAATATTTGACCAAACAATGACAAAAACAAGAGAAACAGCAAAGCACCAATTTGTTTTATACTTGGATCCGAAATTTCTAAATCCGATTGTCAAAAAAACCCACATCAAGACCTGTTTAATATAATACAATCACGTCATGCTAGCTATTCAAATCACCTCACACGACAACTGAAACTTTATCAACTTTTTCTTTTAAAACATATTAAACATGGTTGCGATTGCGCGTGCTCGGTTATTAAATTATGTAAATTTCAAAACAAAATTATAAAACGAAAAATAAATTGGATTCTAACACTCGAACAGATCTATCGACGGACAATGATATCTATTTAAGTATATGTAAAAACAATTGTGATTGTTTAAGCTCTCGCACACTTGTTAATCAAATGAATTTATATTCGTTAAATATTGTGGATAAACTCAAACACGGTTATATTTACTAAATCAAAGGATAAAAACCCTTAAACCTAACAAAAATAAGTTACATATTACTAATAGCAACATAAACACAACACTGTTTTACTTTTATCAGACAAATATTTCCAAATATAACATCCAAACATCACCATCAACCATATAATCATATAATAAGGAAAAAAAAGAAAAAAAAAAAAGAAAAGGGTCCCACTACCTATCAACCACATAATCATCATATAGGTGAAGGAGTCAAACCCTTATTATTATCATTGTTTATGCCACTGTTCTGATACCTGCAAATCACCTTGCACTTGACCACATTGCCGTAGACATAGAACCCAGGTGCGACCATGATCCGAACCACCGACGGGACCAGCTTCCGGGCCCTGTCTCCACCCATATCTTCCATGTAGACCGAATCGAACCTCCCATTCTTGTCCACTCTAAAAATGGGCAGACTTGGGTGCACCGAATTGGCCAAAAGGTGCACCAACCACACACTCTTGGACGCGCCAAAGAACGCCTGCAGCAACGGCTCTGGCCAAGCTCGGTTCCACCCCAACATAGCCACAATTTCACTCATTTTTCGGTCACAAAACCCGCTGAATTCTTCACTGAAGTGTCTCGTCCCTCTATTCAAAACCTCATCCCATGTCAAACTTTTCAACTGACTGTAAGACACAAAATTGGCTTCGCATCGGTCAATCGGGTTCAGAATTTGATTAGAGGCGTTTTTCTGAAACCCTATCGATTCGAACTCTTCGAAAAAGGCTTTGTTGAGTAGAGCTTCGAGGTAGATGAGCAAGCTTCTCGGATTTTTAGAGAGAGAAACTACGATATCATAAGGTTTGAGAAGTAATGAGATTCGTTCGTACACTTTGGTACCCATTTGCCGAATCTGAAGCGTGAGTGAGCGGCTCAGGAGTCGAATTGACGACCGAGCTTCCGAGACCGAGACCAAGAAATGCTCTATCACTCTGTCCCCATCTCCGATGCTCATCGGTTCAAACTTCACGTTTTGGTTATCGCTCTTGATACTCATTTCGGTCCGTGAATTATTAGAACACTCGTCGAGTCCCGACTTCAGATTGTGGCAGTAGACTTCGAGCTTGTTGAGCTTCTTTTCGAGCTCGGCCATGGAGTACTTCAGCCTCGAAGCTTCGAGGACAGCTTCGTCTCGCTTCCTCGTGGCGTGAATGAGTTTGTGAGAGAGTTCGGCCACGGCAATCTTCCACTGCTCCTCCCTCGTCGGCGTGGTGTCCGACGACTTCGGACTCTTTCTGATCAGAGAAGAGAAGATGGATTTGAACACACCGTTCGGACTCATAATTGAGGTTCTGTTGCTGCTGCTTTGCTGGTTGTTGTCCAAAGGGACCACAGAGATCTTCTCGCGAGTGTTCGGCCGGCATATGTTGCACGAAACACCGCGGTGGTTTCCGGCCGTGCTGTCAGATTCCGGCCGTTTCTTCCCCGTTGATTTGCGGGCGTTGTCAGCTTGGTGATGAAGTGGAGTTGGGTGGTGGTGTGTTGAATCTTCAATCTCTCTTTTGTCAACACAACCAATTGGGCTCGCTTTATAGCTGCTGCTCTCTTCATCTTCGTTTTCTTCTCTCTCACATTCTCGAATCTGCAATCACCAAAAACTTTCAGTTTTCGACATAAAACCAATTCTGTATGAAAAACAATACTGTGAAATTTGCTTCGATTTTTTAAGAATATTATATATATATATGAATGTATAGATGGTTATACTTACCGGAGTGAAATGGGTAGGAAGGTGATTGAGTGGAGGAGGAGACAGACGGTTTTTGGAGGAAGAAGATGGGGAGGAGGAAGAAGAAGGGGACATTTTATTCATTATCTCATATTTGGGGCTATTTGTCTCATTTTACATTTATATATGAACTATGAAGTGTTTGTTTTTTTTTTAATCTCGATGTTATGTATATATACATTACATATACATGTATGTATATATACAGTTTCTATTCTCTTTTCATTTTCTATCACTTTCTCGGGCTGTTTTTTCGTCGTCATGTAATCATACTCATGTATTCACAGAATGCAGGTCTGATTGCATTTATATTTCAGCTTCATCTACCCAAATCAGAAGAATAACAAATGCAAGTCAGTGTTGTCTTCCTCACGCGCCATCAAAGATGTTGTTAACTGTACGCGAGTCCTTATTGGTCTGTATTTTACGTGTCACCGATAAAAACGTGGGTGGTGTATATTTCTGGCTATTGAGCACACTTTTCTATTATTTGATGAATTTCATTAAAACGGTTATTTTTTAAGGAGTCAAAGAGGTAAATTCAAAATTCAATACATGGTCGTCAATTTAATGGGCATTTCCATTTTGGGAATTTCATCCACACCATCTATGGACCACTTGAAGACAATAAAAATTAGGGTTCATTTATTCAAATGTGAATTTATGGGATGCTTTAATAGAGCATGGTTATGGTGAGAGTCTGTTGTGATAGACTTACTAATTTAGATATTCAATAATTGAAAGGGATAAAACTCAAATGACGTGTCTCTTATCCGGAGTCTGCATTTAAAGTCGTGTTTGGAATTAGGATTTTTTTGCTGCCTTTTTTTTATTCCGAACCCATTCTATGCGTTTAAATATGGCAGCACAACAATTTTACATATTTCGAGTCTCCGTTTAAGGTTGTGTTTGGAATTAGGATCTTAATTCCAAGTCTATTCTATGCGTTTAAATATGACAACACAACAATTTTACACTGAAAACCTAACAAATTCGACTTTTCAAATTTAGACCGCGTAGAAATGAATTTTCACAAGATGTTCTAAAAAAGAAAAACATATAAAAATGTAACAATAAAAAATTTACGTTAAAAAAAATGTCAATATTTGTGATTAATCACACAGTTGTAATAATACCAATACTCTACCAAAATTCTCCAACATAAGGTACGTACATAATAATGGTACTAGCACTAGTTCAGAATCACGATTTTGTAATGTCCCTTTTCACGACTCAAAATAAATGCGGTAATGACCAATATAATTGTGATAATAAATCCTAAGTCATATAAAGCGAGAGCGAAAGAAACATGACAGCAAAAACACACTCAAAACGTGATAAAAATACCGGTAAAAAGATTGTGAAAACCTTCACTTGCCACAAATCTTGAGGCATGCTAGTCTCATAATTTCCTTTTGTTTTGGGAGAGGTTGTTTATTTCTCCATACATATACATATACATATACATATATATATACACACACACACACACACACACATACAGATTGACTCACAGTGTGGTTGTGGGCCCAGCATCTTTCCATTACTTTGGGCCCATCCTAATCCAAGAACATTAAAAACCCTAACCAAGATTTCCCTTTGCAGAAGGCAGGGCATGCATGGAAGGTTCAAGTTTTGTCGTTGAACAGACTGTACAATGTGGCTCGTAGCTAAAAATCATCATCGTATAGAGGTTATTTTACCCGCGGCTATTAGCTAGCACTGTCGCTGCTCTTTCTCTTTGTTGGATCGGACATGTCGGCACCCTTCTACTTCACGCATAAATATATGAAATTAGGGTTACAAATAAACCGAGTCCAACTTAAAATTGTTAGAACTAGTAATTAATGTGAAAACCATGCAAGTCCATGTGTTAATGTCACGGTCAACACTTGAATTTAAATACCATCCTTAGAAAATTATTAATATATGGTCCATAAAATGTATTACTGGTAATGAGTCATAACCTTAGACACATGATTCACGCCAAGGGGTCGTTGTCTCATTCCGGAGTGAATTAATTTGAAAAGGAGAGATGATAATATTTGAGCTAATGTTTAATCGGAGAGTTTAGGTGAAGTTGCTTACCCTATACTTGTTTTTTTGTGCAAAAATTAGCCAATAATTTTATTTAACAAGAATTGTGATATTCAATTAAATTGGCCACGTATATTATATTAGACAAATACTTAAATAACAGCGACATATACTAACATTAGAGCTGTGTGACTTATTAAAAAATATATATTTAGTAAACTAATATTATGAATATTGTGAGTAAATATTAGAACATTTGGTCCAAATAATATGATATCTCCTTCTCAAATGGAAAGTTGAGAGTTCGATAACTGTAAGATTTGTTCGTTAAGTTCGTTACTCCGTTACTTTTTATCAGTTATGATTGTCAGACTTTGAATTCTGATCGACATGATCTTAGAAGAATTCATATTCGGATGAAGCGGATCAAATTAAAATTTTGAATTTATCCACTTTATTCAAAGATACGAATTCTTTCCTTTATACAATGAATCAATCAGCCTCCTAAATTTGAAAAGGTAATCCGTAGAATTCCAATAAACACACCAACTACAAACCATGGCATTAACTAGTCTGTTTACTAAGTACACATATCTAGAATGCTCTCACTAGTATACCCTTACTCGTTCTAGCTAAAAAGTCTTGTGAATCCCCAAATCACCAAAGAGTTCTGTTATACACATCAAAATTATATAACTATCCACTGAATTCTTCGGATTTGATTGGTTAATTAGTTAATGTTGCGTGGAGTATTGAATTGGTATCGTAAAATTGAAAAAAATTTAATTCAAAATTTGTACTACTTTTTTTTTTTAATTTCAAATTTAAAAATGTCTATTTAATGCTCTTAAACATACATGAATAACATTACAAGAATTTTCTATTTAATGCTCTCAAACATCCATAAATAAATAACATCACAAGAATTTTCTCTTTATATGCATTAGTAATTTTCAAAAGAAGAAAAAATAGTAATATTTTCTTCAATGAGACAATATCAAAAGGATGGTCCAACAAGACTTTCACGTGGGATTCATATTAGATTTGATCAATTGTCTATTTTACTTTCTCTACGTTCTTGATAACTCACCTTTGTTTCAGTAGAGTCTTTCAGTGACATATATGTTTCGGTCCTCTTCCGCCGTTATTTTAAAAAGTGAACCATTGATTCAAATATAAGATATTATAATTACAGTTTTGACAATTAGATATCTAACCCAATTACAAGAGCCAACAGGAGTTTCGGAAAACAAAAATGAAATAAAATAAAAAGGAAGAAAGAAAAATATAAATGACTAATGTGAGTTATATTCTATGGATAAGAACTTTTAATCAATAATAAATATTTAATAATTATCACATCCATTAGTAATAAAAATAGAGAGGAGCTTGTATAATTTTATTCACAGATAGATGTTTTAATTTTCAAAGAGGAAACAATTATTGCAGTGACTTCTCAAAGATGGTGGTGATTCTAGTGGGTCCAGTGAATTAATGGTAAAGCCATTGTGAGGGCTAGAGAGCTACAAGGACAGTAAATGAAAATAATTTAAAATGGGCCAACAAACGAGACTTGTATGAAGCGTTGGAATTTGTTCCATCCAAAGTCATAGAAAAAACATCGAAAAATTCAGAATCGGTAATTCTCAGCATTTATGAAGCTGTTGTAGAGTTTGTTGAAGCATTTATGGCTTTATATTTATTATTATCTCCTCCATTCTCAGACCTCCAACCACTCATATTTAATTCTATATATGGATGACCACCAATGGGTGTCAAACAACCAACACATACCGTATGCATGTATGTATATGTATATACACACACACACATATGGAGCCTTAATTACACTTAATACCTTGTACTATCTTTTTTGTCTCACACTAATCCCTTGAACTTTGTACTATAAGAGGTAAAATGATGTTATTGGCCATTTTATAGAAAATATATTATTGAATATAAAATATGTCTAAATGGATAATAAATTTATTTTTACTTCATGCTTAACCGAAAATTAACATTAAGGCGAAATGTGCAATTTTTTTGAAAGTTGAGAGAATTTATTTATCAAAAATACAATTTAGTATGGTGACAAATAAAATTGAACAGTTCATGAATAGTTTGAACGTAGATTCGTTTTTGGGCTTGTTAGTAACTGAGTTGATCGATCCCGTATAACATTGGACTCAGCTCATGTAAGTTTGTGAACATAAACCCGTGTAGGGCTCGTATATGTTCATGAACATAGGCTCGTGTAAGATCGTAAAAACGTTCATAAACACAAATTTGTATAAATACGTACATAAACATCAGGCTAGTTTATGTTTATAAACGAGTTAAATGATGTTGAACATGAATTCAAATCGAAGCTGAATGAATTTTGATATTAAACTAACCGAGCTCGAATTGAATCTGAACTTTTCAAAATAATGCCAAGCCGAGACTGAGTTCAACTAACTCGTCACAATCTCGAGCCCAGTCCACAAATGAATGAGTCAAGCCCAAACAAATTCAAGTTCAACTCGATTTGACTTGATTCATTTGTAATCCTACAATTCCAAAATGTTACGTGTTATAAAATAATAATACAGGGGTTTGTGATTAAACCACACACACACATATATATATATATATATATATAGATTTTGAGAGAGAGAGAGAGAGAGAGAGAAAAGGGAATGGATGGATGCATGTGAAGGTATTAAATGAGACAATGGGTGAAGTAACATTGTTAATTAGATGTGGTCCCTGCAAATTTGAGCCAGTAGAGGCTATATGGGCTGACTTGTGCCATCTCTCATTGCTTGGGATCACATTCCACGTGTCCGCACTTCTTCCTCTCGCAGTGAGAAAGGCGTACGCCGTACAGCCAACAAAGTCAGGCATTGAAGCACCCCCAATGCTTTGCATTGAATTTCTTTGACTCGGATGATAGTGAATAAATAAATTCTAATACTTTGGTTAAAAGAGATAAAAAGAAAAGTGTGACATATTTAATGTAAGTATTATTTATGAGGTTGCAATATTCTAATAGTGCCATTTGGACCACTCAGACATTCATTGTCACCAAGTGTTCCTATTAGCTTATGAGAGAGTCTTAACAGGTCTAATCACCGACTTAAGGAGTTAAGCCCAAAAATTATTAGTGTCATGTTGATTTTGAAATAATTCGTTTTAAAATTAGAATTGAAGAAAAATTAATTTAAATTTTAAACTAAATTACTTTAATTTTAAATTTTATATGTCATTATTTATGTTCGATTAAGAAAAATAATAAAAATTAATATTTAAGAATTTATTTAACAACAACAGTTACTTTGTATTTTTGTTTTGACAAGAAATGAAAGTAATGTTTCTTCTTTGTGTCCAACATTATTTAAAAATTTGTTTGATAATATTCCTCCTTTATGTTGTGTTCAACACAATTTCACGTGCCAGTAAAAAAGTAGACAGATTTGTTTGTATGTGACAACTTTTTAGAGCATCAATTTTGAGCAGTCTTACGTGTCAAGAAAGTGTATTTATTACGGAGTAGTTTTTTTCAACACACCAACAGTGTACCTACAACATTTACTGATAACGAGGATAATTGTTTAACATTCCAGAATGCCGAGAAGAAAATCTAGTATGATGCTAAAATTACTGACTCACCCTTTGTCTTAATGTTTCATATTGCATTAATGCAAATTTATTTAAAATGTACAATAATGTCACTAAACATTAAAGAAGATCCATGTATATATATACAGTAATGATTAAATTGTAACACAAAATAAATCAAATATTCGCAAAAATTCCATACGTATATCAATTGCTTGTTGACCAAAAAATACTCCTCAAACCTAGTATCATTCGATTTATTCTATTTTATTTTTTTATAGAAAAAAAACCTAGTATCAATATTCTACATGATCTTTCATTAACTACAAGAAGAGTCAACAATTATATGAGCTAATGTTTGTTTATACTCAACAGATTAAAATATACAAATTAATAAGGAAATCATAAATGTATGAAGCCATTCTACACTAGCTTAATTTATCAAACCTTTTCAAGTGGTCTGTTTTTGTTTTTCATTAACAAATTGCTATCTTGTTTGCTCTGTTAAAAAAAATAAAAATTCTATCCTAATTGCATTCCTGTTATTGTTTTTTATTTTTTAGTTTTAGAGACGGAGAACCCTTCGAAACGTCCCTCTTTTAGACTTATGAATGGAAAGTAAATTTCGGATATGTACAATTACCCCCAAATCACACATATCATTTAAATCCGAGTCTTTTTTACCTTGTAAACGTCTGAATTTATGGTTTGTATTCCTAGTACTTCTTAAGTTCTTTACTAATATTGGATAATATTAAATCTGAAAAGTTTTTCTTGAAATCTCATGAAATAAACTTTTCTAAGTTTTCGTGTACTCCTGACTTGCAAATTGGGGACATTTTTCGATTATTGCCTTTCACTACATCTTTATTTACGTTGTGTTTGACGGCATTAAATTAGAGTTTTGAAATTAAAATTGGTAGAATTAAATAAAAAAAAAAAAAAAAATTTGATTCAATTTTCTCAGTTATTTTTCTTAAATTCCAAAACTCCAGTTACATGCCTGCCAATCATAACCTTAACTCCGTCGAAGAAGCATTAATGGTTTGGAGACATTGAATTCATATTGATCCTTCGCTAGTCTAACATGCACTTTTATTGAAAGAAGAAGAACTGCAGAAGCAAAGGGGCATCCCCAGAAAAAGGACCAAAATGATTTCAAAATCTTTCAAATTTTTTTTTTTACCACAACTTACAAATCTAGAAACGTTTGCTATCTCATCATTTTCAGTTCTCTCTCTTCAAGCTCAAGAATGGTGCGTGCGTGCGTGTGTGTGTATTAGACATTTGGGCAGACCAAGGCCTAAACTTGCACACGTGAAACTTAAATTTTCCAAGGTTTCATTTCCTTTTGTAACTTATAATATGATATAATTCTTTCCCTATGTCTCACTTTAAGCACCAAAATGTTGTCAATATTGTCTCCAAGACATTTGGACAGACATTGAGCACTTTTTAATAGTAAGAACGGTGTCAGTACTTAGTAGGGACAATGGGCCTAAATGCCTAATCTAACCTATGGTGAGGGGGTAGTATTTGCTCATAAGATTTGGGCTTTGAAATGTAAAAAAGGTGACTATGAGTGAGTGGTGTGGCCCGGCCTCAATGACTCAATCATCTTTTGTACGATTTCGTTACGCACTTTTATAAATTGATTAATTTAATTAATTTAAAAATTATTAATAATAATTAAATTTAAAATTAAATCAATCAAATTTTTGTTAATTTTAAAAGTTTGATTTGATTCTATTATTTAAAAATCAATTTAGTACTGATTCATCTTAGAATTGAACCAAATAAAAACGTTTATACTACTTATTAAATTAAATTGAGGTTCACAAGGCGTTAGAGGCAAGTGTGTCAAACATTTTCATACTAAAATTTTAATTAATCTTATTATCTTACTTAAAAAGAATAAAAAAAAAAAAATTCCCACTAATTGAACACGTGGCATAAACCCATTAGCGTATTCTAAATTTTTTCCATAAAAGACCAAGCAGTCCTAGACACGCGTCATCAACATCGCAATACATATGATTACCTTCAACAGCCATTAATCGAGGTGGATAATAAAATAAAAAATTGGAATTTTACTGAACCAAATTTAAAAAAAAAAAAAAAAATGAAGAAAATTTAAAATTTGACAGAACAGTCTGAACAGAGAAGTGAGTGTTTGGCTATCTCACTTTCTCTCTCCTAGGGTTTGTGTGAACCAGTACAGAAATGGCGGTAATCAGAACCACAACCACCATGATCGTGAAACAAATCTTCCGTCCATCACTGCCCGTTGTATCTGTGCGTCTGTTCCCAACATCACCTTCGAACTTCGGCGTCGCTCTCCGCCGTGAAATCAGATACAACCCCATCCGGTGCGCTGCATCGGGCTCCGCCGATGGAGGTGGAAAGAAGGTGTCGGCGCGGCTTTCTCAAATGCAGCAAATCTTGTTCGAAGCTGAGGAGAGAGCCGCTTCCGCCAGCAACGAACCTATTCCTAAAATCACACAGAGTAACTTCATTACAATTTGCTCTGTAATTAGTTTCTTGTTGTTGCTTTTCGTAAAAAGATGACTGTTTTTAGTTGTATATTGGTGTGGCAATGTGAATAGAAAGTGGTGAAATAAAATTGATTTAATGAACATATGATTGCAGAAAGTATAATTTCATGTTTTTGGCTGTTTAGAATCTAAGAGAACGAAATATTAACTCACTTAAGCATACATAATTCAGTTATTTTGTTTGTGTTAATTTCTCATGTGGAGTATGAGTTTGTTAGATGGCAAGTCTATGAAGGTCATAACTATGTGAAGCTGACATGCTGCTAAATTATAGATTATCATTTCTTATACCTAAATGCCATCTATTGGTATAAAGATTATATGTCCGATTGATCATTGAAATTGAGGCACCGTTGAAATGTGAGAGAAAATGTTGTGGCAGAGTCAAAAGGGTGTTGATCTTTGATGATTAGAAATACTTTGGTGACAATTAGATTTGAAAAACTAATAAATAAGCACCTCTCACAAATAGTACTTACGGAAAACAAAAAACAAAAAACAAAGAGATAAACATTTCATCTTGTCTTTCTCTTAAATAGGAACTGTAATTGTTCAGCCTCATTTGTCACCTAGAACAACTCTGATTTTCTATGGTTATGAAGCCTGGATGAGAATATGTTCTTGTGACTTTCATTTTGACTTGATGCAAATATTATGGTTGCGTAATCTACCTAAATTGAATACTGTGATTCGTTTTTCACTGAAAACCAGTCTGATGTTTTATGGTTATGAAGGCTGCCTGAGAAATACCATTTGGTTGGCTTTCGTTTTGAGTTGATGCTAGTATTATTTTTGTCTAGTATATCTCAATTTATTAATGTGATTTACTGTCAAAAAGAAAGAGAAAAGTTGTGGGGAAAAGAAGGAAGTGGATACTTGTTTCTTTTATGATAATTGACTGTTATTTGGGCACGTGTTTATATTATCTGCTATTTCTGGGAAATCCCTGACAGAGTGTTTATTTTCTGAAACTTAGATCATACCATATCTGATTGTGTATTTGTATCATTGGCTATTTCCGGTAAATCCCTGCAAGGGACCGGAAGGATGGCTCTTTTTTTTTTTTTTTTTTTTTTTTTTTTTTTTTTTTTCCCCTTAATTGGTACTCACACACAGTCTCTTCTGAGACTTGAACCCCTGACCTCCCTTTGGGAAGTAAGAGACTGATACCGCTAGGCCATTGGCCCGTTGGTTATTTTTTGAAATTTAAACAGCCATATCTTATACAAATAGCAGTATGCATGGTAAAAAGTATGCTTTGTAGCTTAACATTTGGCCATGTCCAATATGCTTATAAGCAATTGTCTTTTTATCATTCAGACCATGTTACAGTAAGCTTTGCAAGAAGCGGAGGACCTGGAGGTCAAAATGTCAACAAAGGTTTGCTAAATTCTGTCTTTCACTACAAATCTAAATTCTATGTCCTTCCTTCAATAGTGATTCTTTTTCCAAGTTTCTATTTATCATTGTTAATTCATCTACTTTTGTTACAGTAAATACCAAGGTGGACATGCGGTTCAATGTTAAGAATGCGCATTGGTTAAGTGATAGGGTCAAGGAGAGGATTATGCAATTGGTTAGTCATTAGTGATTGTATTTCAATCATGTGTTCTATTAAATAGTGTGATTTTCTGATTTTAGACAAGTATAATGTAAAGATTGGAGGACAACTGTAATTTTCCCTGCCTTAGCCATGGTTTTGCTGGACATAGATTGACGACCTTATGACATTTCAGATGTGCCCGAAATCACTTATTCCATCTCATAGGAGACATCCTGTTTGACACAATTAGCTGTCTAATATATCCCACTGTTTTGGAAAGGTAATGTTTCTTGAGAAAAAATTAGTGGATTGGATGGTTAGTTAATTTTACGTGGACGATTTAATTCTAGAAGACCTTCATTTCAATAACATTGGCCTAACAGCCCCGCTGTACCTTGCCTAGCATGGATCCAGAAAAAATTTCTCGGGAGAACCTGGCTATATGTATCTGGCTTAAGGAGGCCAAGCTAGATGTATATATCTTGTTTAAAATCTTCAAGTCATGAGCTGTTAATTTAAAATTAATTTTGTGATGGTAATTTGTCTTACTATCATTGTCTCTTACTTTGGGGCCTGGGCTCCATAAGGTCTTGCGTTAATCAAAAGCTAAAAAGATCCCACAGATGCAAAACCTTGTTTCTGTATTTTTTTTTATATTTATTTTTTAAAAATTCATTAATTCTTTTCTTCTAGGAGTTCCAATGTTCTTCTTTTGTTTTCTTTCAACTTATATTGATAAAATATTCAGCTTTTCAAGGAGATTAGACTTTAGATTTTCTTCTTTTTTTTTTCTTTTTTCCCAATTTACTTGGGTATTACTGTATACTTTTTAAAATTATTTACATAAAAGAGAGTCAAATTTTCTGGTGGAGTCAATGTGTGAGTGAATATAAAATTTCAAATATAAAGTTAATTTCATTAATGTTTCTTATTATTCAATTTTTTTTAGGAGAGATATAACCAAATTAACAGTGTTGGGGTTTGAGTTTAGTGGTCCTTCTTCTAGCCTCAGACTACCCAAAAGATTAGGGGGCTAGGTGTCTGACCACAATCTTCAAGAGTTTAGTGCCGACCAATGTGTATATTAAATGTCTTAAAGCTGTCCAGTATTACTCAAGAACCTAATTGCTGTTTGGAGCTTGGGGGGTCTCACCCAAGGCTCCTTCTGTGCTCCTCTGCGTGTGTCCTTGACCATGTCTACCATCTATCATCACTGTATCTGATTGCCTTCTGCACATCTTTTGCACATGATACTAGGCTTGCTAGCTGATTTGTTTTTTTTTTCGAAGTTATGTTTCTACTTAGTTACTTATTTTTGGAGTAAACACAATATTTACCCTTTTTGTTATCTTCTTGCTTGTAAATATTTGTTTTATTGATGTGGTTGCCTACTTATTACAACTTTCTGCTTTTCTGGCTGTGAACAGGAAAAGAATCGGATCAATAAAGATGGGGAGATTGTGATTTCTTCAACAAAGACTAGAACACAGAAGTTAGCTTCAACCTGCTACTTTTTGTTATCCATTTTGCTTATGTTTTTCCAAAACAATTGGTTTCATGTTGTTGTTGTTCTTCTTCAGGGGTAACATTGAAGATGCTTTGGAGAAACTGCAGGTACAAACAAAAAAACGTGTTAAAAATGCACATCGATTATATATTTATGTGGCAATTGTAGTATACTTCCACTGCTCCCATATGGTTTAATGACTATAATCGGCAAATGCTACCTTCAAGTGTTAGATCTGATATTTTCTGGCACATCTTGAAAATTTGTGATTGGTCATCTTCAATTGAAAAATGATGCAAATCCTTCACACTGTGCTGCTTGAGACATGCTTTCGGATTTTTCTGCAGTACATTTTGGGGAGCTAACTTGTTTATTAATGTATTTTTTGTTTTGGAATAAACAAAACAGGCAATCATTGATGCTGCTTCGTATGTTCCACCGCCTCCCTCAGAAGAGCAAGTAAAAAGGATTGCCAAGTTGTAAGAGATTTTTGCTTTCCATAATCATTCTAGTCGTGCTGCTTGTTGCTGTACTGTATTACATTCTTGTTAGTATCCTTATGTCATGGAGGGCTTCAAATTAACGAGTACCATCATGTTCTCATTTTTGCCAAAGGGCCGCTATTGGAGAGCAGAAAAGACTACAAAGCAAGAAGGCCCATTCAGACAAGAAAGCTTTCCGAAGAAGCCGAGATAGTTGGGACTGACCTACCTGATCACGAGGTCAAGTGTATTTGACATTTTTATAGAAGGTTCACTCTCACCTTGCTCTTCTATGATGGCAATTTTTGTCAATTTGGTGAATGGTGTAAGGATTTGAAGCAGAGGCTTCGAGTTGCTTGATAAAATAAAATAGCAAAAAGCCGATGAATCTGGAACCAACTTCCAAAATCAGCTTGTAAAGCAGACTACTGAATGGAAGTTGATAGTTGCAGTCCATTGTTCATGATATAATTTATTGAATAGAATTGGCAGTTTATAATAAACCTACTGAATGAGGGTTATGTGCCTTTTATTGACCTCCAGATAGATGTTATTTACAATGTATAGAGACACCAAGTCCTTCCACAAGTCATTTGGGGATGCTTATGTCATTAAGTCTTGAAAAAAAAAAAAAAAATGGTTCTGAATAATTGTTGACAGTGATTTTTCACATATTTGTAATTATTTTGCTTTTCTTATGTATGTTTACAGTGAGACCAAATTTTTTTTTTGTAGCATTTAAATGTATCAGAATCCAGAAGTTACTACTATTTTTTTGGTTTTGTAGCACCAATAAGCCTTTAATATGATGGCAGAGGAGTGACAAGTTGTGCATACGTTCCTTGCCTACTCATTAGGGTTGCAACTCGGGCTTGAGGTATAACTTGAGTTCAAATCATCAAATGAAATGTTAAACCCAATCCTATATTCAACCTTAACTACTCAACTCAAGTCTAACCTATCGTTCTACACAACCCAAGCTCAACTCATCGTTCTACTTTTAAATTCAGGCTCAGATTTCGGGTAAAAATTTCGGGTTAATTCAGGTTACTTATATAGCTAATCCTTACATCGAAAATTTAGTATGATTTTGAATTAGTTTTAGATTAAATTACTCTTAAATAAAAAAAAAGTTTAAAGACTTTTTGTAAATTTTTAATAAATTGCAAATAAATTTTTAGAAAATTTATTCTCCTAAATATTAACGTATAATAAGTTAATATTTAACAAAAAGAAGTTGAAAAGAAAAAAAATAATCATAGTTTAAATGTTATATATAAAGTATTTAAAAGTAAAAATATATATGAAAATAATATTAGAATTCGGGTTCGAGTTGGCTCAGGTTGCTAGTACTTCTACCCAAGCTTAACTCTAATTAAATTTGAGTAGAGATTTTTTAACCCAAGTTTAACCTTAATTGTAAAAATGATTGTCCAAATTCGTGAAAAATTGGGCTGGGCTCAGGTTGGGTTCGGATTACCCAACCCAAGTTGCACCCCTATTACTCATTGGTGAGTAGAAAGTTTTTACGAACTCAATAAGTGGCATAATAAAATTATGACAAGTGTTTCAAATTTTACAAAATTAGCAATTTTCTCTTTGTTCTATTACTCTCTCCTCTCTCTGTGTATATACAGTATACTACAGCTAATTTTGTCCATCAATTCTCTTTGGCAAGTTTTAGAAAAGGACGGGGTGTTCCTTAATTCATGGTATTTTAATTCTTTTCCTATTATTCATTATCATGTAGTCATTTTTATTGAAAAAAAAAAAAAAAAAACGAAAGAAAGAAAAAGAAAGTGAAATTGGTGAATTGGTGGTGGCATGTGACTCTAATTCTTATGCCTATGTAAATTATTCTCCTTATATATACAAATTGCTTAAACTTCCAACCAAATAAAAATAATAATAAATAAATTTTGCCCTAAATTTTTATCCCCGTGAAAGTATGGAATGGCATAACAACATTACTAATTTCATTAACACTCTATTAGAAAGCAGCTTCAATAATATATTAACAACTTATACCTCCATTAAATTAAGAGGACTTGTCACAAATCTCATATAAGCATAATGTCATGCTCCGCCAAAGAGGTTGAGCCACGTAGACCACATGCGAGCACTAATATTTGCTTGGTATATGTAGGGAATATGCAATGTGGGTAGTTTAGAGAATGTTCTAATGTATTTGGTATATGTAGGGAATATGTAATGTGTGTAAATTAGAGAACTTTCTAAAAAAGTAGAGTGAGTTGTATATAAGAAAATATCAAAAAGAATTTTCTACAGAACTAATCTGAACCAATAATGCACATATTAGAAATGCAACACTTGAAAGGCTATAAAAGCAGTAAATTTTTCAATCATATTTGGCATATATATCGATAGACTGAGAGCAGGAATACTTTAAGTGATCATATTTCCCATGCATGTATTAATAGTCTGCATGTATTAATAGTCTGTAAGTGATGTTTCATAAATACTTTGTAAGTGATGTTTCATAAATACTTTGTATCAATTGGGTATGAATCAACCTTTTAATTTGTGTACTTTCTAGATTAGGTAGGTTCTAAGAAATTATCCTAATTTCTATGTATTATATATTATTATTACTGTTCTTTTCACTAATTTAGATTATTGAATAAGGCCTCTTACGCTCTATAATACTTTTGTTGGTTTGTTTCTTGGAAAAATTGTTTATAGATTCAGAGACTATTTTGTCCTAATTTGTAATGGCTTAACCCGTTTAAACTTTGTTTAATTAATTTTTTAATATTTTAAAATATTATATAACTTGTGATATGTGTCAGTAATTGATTTAAGGAATATTATATATGAATTATTTTATTAATAAATTACTTTATCCCAGAACAACATACGTTAATTAAAAGTAAAACTTACGAATTTTCTTGGTATGAATTGAGTAAGGTTTTAAAGAGTACTTCTCCTAGTGGGGTATTTTAATTAGGTAATCCCTCATATTAGTTGGTATGGGCACAGACGGTTTGGTTTGGTTTGGTACGATTTCAGATTAAATCGGAATTGAATCAATCTTAACAGTTTTTAAAAAATTAAAATCAGAATCATTAAACCATTTAAGCGAACAGACCAATTCAATTCATTCAATTAAACTACTTCCTAAAAACAGTTAATGTAATAATACACTGTTAACATCTCTCCAAGCCATCTTACTTCTAATATGGGAATATAAATATTAGAATCTATATCATTTAATGAAATTTATTAGGTTGTACTTTATTATAAGCACGGCTAATATTAGAATATAATAGAACATAATATTCAATGCAAATATTTTTTTTTATAATGAGAGTACAAAAAGGAGTAGAGGGAGTAGTAGCTTTATTTTATGTTTTATATAATTAAAATTATAGTTATGTTCTATTTGGAATTGGAGCACTAAAAGATCGGGATAAGAGTAAGTCCTTTCTTGTAATTTTTTGGAATCGAAGCATTTAGAATCGAACCTGCAGTGAAAACCAACTAAACCGTCCGCTCGTATCGATTTACCAATTCCAACATTTATTTTTACCCCTATTGAGGGGTTTTTCTTAAAAAAAAAAATAAAAAATTGTGAAAAATAATTTTGTATTAAAACATTACGGAGTTAAAAAAATGTTGTGATGAGTTCATTGGGAAACTCTTATATTCGTTAATATTTGAACAATGATGCTGTCTTCCTCAGCCTTAGATCAATGTTTCGAAATTGATAGACAATTTTATTAGATTCAAGAATGCTCGACTAATGAGGAGTCAACATTACATGTACTTTTCGGATGATACTACTAAGGAAAAAAAAAAAAAAACCACTCACACACGAGAAATAACCAGTAATACTCTTCTTTAACGAGAACAAATGAGCTTTTCACATCTAATAACAAATTGAGATGGTTTTTTGAAATCTGAAAAAATTCAAATTAATTTATATATATATATATATATATATATATATATATATATTTTTTAAAAAAGAAAGAAAAGTAACAAATCTACTGAGATAGAGCAAAGAAAACAAAAAAGTTGCAAAGAAAAGAATTAAATAATCTTAGAAGTACGAACAAACTAGACATTGAGCGGCCAAATGCAGTTAAGGAGGATTAAATAATCTCCATTTTGACTCTTGAAGGTAGGCTTTCTTGGGGCCGCAAGGCTCGCTGTTTTGCATGATGTTTCTTCGTGGTTTCCTTCAACACCGGCGGTGCGCATGTAAAAGATGGCATTCTTAATCAAGTATTTGGCAAGGCGGCCAACAAACTCAGCCAATTCCACCTCCTTTAGGCATAGGTGGGGGCGGTTGCCAACTGTACGCCTTTTTCTTTCATGCATTTGTATATGTTCCTTCCTCCAAACACACCCTCTTACGAAATTTGCCATCTAACCACAGCCTTAAAACATATGAAAAGTTTATTTTACACTTTATTGTTTTATTAATTTAATTATAAAATATCAAAATACTTAAATAACCAAATTACCCACAGCACCTAATCAATCGTACAACTCTACGTCCAGTTCTGGCGCCGCCACCACCACACCAAAATTCACAACCACCACCATCCCCACCCCATCCCACCGCCACCATCGCCACCCCCAACAACCACCTTTGCGTATTCCGGCAATTTATTTTCTCCATTGATTCATCAACAGCAGACCTTCACCCTCACCACCAATTAATTACAAATCCAAACCCACCAACAAAAAAAAAAAAAAAAATCGGCGAACTCGCATCATGGCCGAACCAGCCCATCACCATCATCTCTGCCATCGCCCATCACGGCTGAGCCCTCCATCGGCCGAACCATAGCCCATCACGGCCGAACCAGCCCGTCGCCATCATCTCTGCCATCACCTATCAGAGGAGGCAAAGTCGGCTTTGGAGCCGAGGACAATAACGGCGAACTCACATCCGCCATATTCGTTCGGACCCACCTGTTGAAGAAACCGGCGGCGCCTGTCGTTGCCAGCCCAGCTCCGGTTCTGCCTATATTCGACGCAATGGCTCCCGGACCGTCCCTAACTCCGGCGCTTACCCCTGGACCGGGAGGACCTCAAAACACTTCACCGCCGATCTGATTGTCTTTTTCATCGACGGCGTCTTCGATCCGCCACCGATCTGCTTGTCTTTGATCCGCCTCAGAATCCATAGTCTGATTGTTTCGCATAGAAGTCTCCAGCGGAGGATGAGATCTTCGCCTTCTTTGAGTTTCTGGCGGTGAAGAGAGAGTTAAGGAAACTCACAATCCCGCCGCCTTGTGTGTGTGTGTGTGTGTGGGTATGTATATATATATACACACACACAGATATATATATATATATATATATGTATATATATATATATATGTATCTGTGTGTGTGTGTACATATATATATATATATATATCTGTGTGATAGCGTGTGTTGGCGTTGGGGCGGAGGAAGAGAGAAGGAAAGAGAATGGGTACGAGGTTATAATGGTCATTTTAACATTTAAATTGGTCAATCTAAAAGTTAAAGGGCAAAAATGTCAATTCATTATCATTGGAGTGTCTTTGATAGCTGTATCAAGCTTGAGGGGGTGTCATTGTCCCAAAATATGTAAACTTTCATTTGGTTGTCCTTTTGACAAATCTTAGGGGTGTTGCTATACTATACCTTTATATGTTATTGTTTCTTTAAGTGCCTAACATTCTATCCTATAAAGAACAATGGGTGTATTAGTTGTTCTTTTTTTTTTTTTTTGGAT